TCTGACAAAAAAATTTTTCAAGATAGGATTGTCTATAAAAAATAGTTCTTTCACAAAAAAATTTGAAAAAATTTCTGAAATTTCAAAATTTTTTTTAAATTTGGAGAACCCGGGCACGCCGGGCCGGGCCGGGCCTTGGAAATCCTCAGCCGGGCCCCTCGGGCCTGGCCCTGCTTTTGCAAGTATGCTTTAAAACCACAGGGTCCTAAAAACCCTACAAATCACCATAACCTTTAAAGCTACAGGGTCCTAAAAACCCTTAATATCGTCAAAACCTTTAAAGCCACAGGGTCCCAAAAAACTTTCAAGTGACAGGGTCCTAAAACCCTGGAGGTCCTCAAAACCTTTGAAGCCACAGGGTCCTAAAATCCTGAAGGTCCTAAACACTCTTTGAAGCCACAGGGTCCCAAAAAAACCGTCCTAAGATAATCAATAAGGATCTTATCGATTTCTGATTTTTTAAAAATTGCCAGTTTTTTAATTTGGTTTCGGTTCGAGTTGTCCATATCTTGCCCATCCATGTCCACATTCTGGGAATTTCGCTCGCCAAGCGCCACAGGGTCCAAAAAACCTTTAAAGACCTCATCTTTCGAAATCTTTGAAAATGGGAATTGGTACCAAACGCACCCCCAAAATGCTTCGAATGTTTTATTTTACTTTTGAAAACAAATTTTTAAAATCCATCTCAAAATCAATTTTGAAAAAAATCCTTTCTTTCACTTTTTTCTTTCACTTTTTAAAAATTCGTATCTGAAAGTTCAACTTTTCACCGCTAAAAGAACCCAGATCTTCATCTGATTCCATCATGACGTCCTCGTCTTCTTCTCCTTCTCTATTTTTCTTTTTGTCAAGGACTCAAATTTGATCAAACGATGCAGAGTGTCTCATGAACTTCTCACGCATAGAACACTTTTCAGAAAAAAACTTCAGAATTTGAAATTCGAAGATTTTGAACTTATCTGTGAGAGCTTCTCACTGAGAAGATTCCAAGTACCTCGTGCCACCGGAAGTTTTAGTACATCATGTACCAAGAATCCCCCACCTTATACATTTCATTTCCTTTCCAGATAAGGGCTATATTTTAAGATTTCTTCTCATTATAATGTCTTTTTCACAAACATGAACGCATATTTTCAAAAATCTTGGCTTTCTTAGTCAAGCTAATTTAGAATTTCCGTCATGAATCTCTGAAAAACATGTATTCATCCCATTTTCAGCAAAATATTTTGGGTTTTTTGATTTCGATTTTCTATGTACCCATGTTTTCTTGGTCTTCTCATCAAGTTTGGTTGAATGCTCAGAAACACATTTTATCAAATTTTGCGTCTTTTTTCTGCTGATTCATTACTGATGTCCTATAGGTACATAATATGTCACCGACCCTTTCTGATGTTTGCTGAATCTTTTAATGAGATAGCATTTAGGTATATTCGAACCAAGGAAATGGCATGTCTAGTCACAAAATTTTACGAAAAAATACCTTTCTTAGAATAGCGGACCTTAAGGTTGGCAGAATCCGGACTACAGTACCCGGAAAAAATACCATAGTTTTTTTTCTGTGGAAAATAGTCAACTTGGGGGTTTTAAAAAAGTATTCCAGAATTTTTAAATTTTCAGATTACACCAAACACAACTGAAGCTTTAACTTTGTAGTTGACAACTTTTTAGCTTAATTCCGTTTTAGTGAAATATGCCGTTTGTAACCAAAAAGAAACCGAAAACTTCAAAATTTGTACCGAAATGTTAGTTTTACCACTTTAAAACGGTTTGTCTTGCTAAGTTGAATTTTTAATGATGAACTTTAAAAGATCCATATAATCTTTTCCAAAGTCTATTCAGCTCAACCAGTACTAAAATAATTACCCACTCCATTCAGCTATAATTAGACATTTTCTTTTTTCATTCTGTTCTCTCTTTTCTTATTCAAGACACGCCTTGGCACTTCCGATGGTCCTCATTGTTCGATTTTTATGTTTTTTTTAATGTCCAGAATCCCAGATCTCAAATCTTCTAGTCTAGAAAGATCACGAGTCCATTAACTTATGCTCCACCGAGTTAAACAAGGTTATAGCGCGTCTTGTGTTTTGTGATATATGCATAAACATCTTCATCATCTGTGAGATTTTTCTTGGAAATAAAAAGTCGGCAATCGAGTTTACTTGTGTATTACATAGCAATATCTATTTCCGATAGGAGGTCTATCCTTTTTCTAAGTGCCTCTTCTCCTCCTTTTTTTATGCTGAGCCATCCGCCAAAACACTTTTTTGTCTCTTCACCATTTTGGAACTTCTCAATTATTCATAACTTTGCGCATAGTTTTTCGATTGTGAAGGAAATAGACGAAAAAAATTCGAAACACTTTACTTCATTTTTTTGATTCCGTCGGTTAGATACTCTTCTAGAGGCTTCAACATTATAGATGCTATTATCTATGGTCATTTTACTGGAATTCGCAGAATGGAAGGAGCAAAAAACTGACCCAAACGTCATTAATATTATTCATTTCCTCATGAATCTCATTAGAAGAACGTTGCCATTTTTGATTGTTTGATCTTGAATTATGGAGATTTCATGGATTTTTAAACTGAATATATCCCAAGAACATAGTTTAAAAAATGCTCTAAATTGAATAGAATTTTCTCAAATGGAAGCCAATCCCTGAGCTCAATTATCTCGGTTCCTGTAAAAGGTTTAAAGAATCTGTCAACTGATAAAATATTGGTGATATTATCATGAACATTTTATCAGTTGATCACTTTTTGATATCTTTGATAGCAACCGCGATAAATTGGTTTAAAGTTGAAAATAAGGGAGGAATTATGTTAGAGCATTTACGATAGTTGAACTTTTGAGCCATTTATCTCGGTTCGTGTAAAAGATGTCAAAAACTTGCTAACGGATAAATTGATTATCATAATATCACCTATATTTTATTAGTTGATAAAAATTTGGTAGCTTTTATAGGAATCTTGATATTTGAGCTCAAACTTGACAGACCCTTCTATTGAAGATTTTACGGTAGTTCAAGATTCCCAAACATTTTCCAAATTTTCTCAAACTGGTGAATAAGTTCAAACTACTTCAGTCCGGTTCCAGATTTTTGATTATTCTAGAAATCCCAAAATATCAAGAACCTTTTACGATAAGAGCCTCAAAACTTTCTAATCCTCACAAACCTTTTTCAAAAAAAAAAAATTCGAAGATCCTCTAGATAAAAGATGATAGTCAAACCTTTAATCGCTGACGTAGTTCGCATAACTCATCCTCGTAAATTTCACTCATCTTATATTCAAACACGAGCTTTTACTTAAAATGAGGTCAAACTTCGAGCATATTCATATTTTTGCCCAGCGCAGATCTGGAAGTGGAGAAGAAGCATTCAATTATTCTAGCATTCGGAATACTACTATTCTTATAATACTTCCTGGATGAATAGAGGATAATGAGGAATTTAGAATTTTTGGTCTGTAGAATAGAAAAAAGCCTAGAAGCTTGGAAGATTATAGGGTCAGAAAGGTCTAATGTTGGCTGAGCTGAAATTCGTTCGAGGATCGATTTCGTCATTTAGAGATTTCAGAAGATTTAGCATAGACATATTTTTGCGATATTTTCAGCTATAATAATAAGTATAGGATGCATCGCTCTCACGATGGCTTTCCGGAACATTCCGGAACTCTTTCAAAAGATATCAAAAATCTGTTAACTGATAAAATGTTTGAGATATTATGATAATTACTTTATCAGTTTAGCATTTTTGATATCTTCAACAGGAACCGAGATAATTGAGCTCAAAGTCTAGTTGTAGGGCGAATACGGTATACTTCGAGCTCAATTATCTCGCTTCTCATGAGAGATATCAAAAATTTATGACCTGATGAAATTTTATTAATTTTATGATAAACAATTTATCAGTTGATGGATTTCTGATATCTCTTCTAGGAACCGAGATAATTGAGCTCAAAGTGCACCTATTCTGTTAGAGCAAATTTTCGTTGTCTCTTCTAGCAATTCATAGAGATCTCTGTGCTCTACTCATTTCCTCAAAAACCTATGCTATCATTCTTGCTCAAGATTAATCAAGAACTAAGCAAACAAAACGAAGGCTTTCCCTGGAAGATCATTGAGCCTAACCTCAAGATTTCTAGGTTCGATGACTCAGTATCTTTCTGCCCCTCCTCTTTACCCCTCCTCCAGAATAAACAAAACCAGTTGAACCTTCTTCTTCTTCTTCTCCGTTTTTTGTTTCCTTCTACTTATGTACATGCACCACTTTGTCAACTTTGAGCTCCTCGAAGGGAGATTAGAAGAACAACGTCAGGGAAGAGAAATGGAACCATTTTTTCCCGAAAACTCACAAGAAACAGCTAGCCATCAACCTGGTGTGAAATGCGATTATTTTCTCTGTTGATAATCAAATTTTTTGGAGAAAATAATTGAATTGATAAGCCCACTTGATAACATTCAATTGGTGTGTTTGTGTGCCGGGTTGTGTGTGGCTAACTGTTTTGCCATTTCAGTTCTTTAATAGTATGTAGGTTAGTTTGAGCCACGGCCGGCCGGCGGGCCGGCCTAGAGGCTCAAGTGGTTTCTGGGTCGGACTGATTGGTCCACAGCAACCTACCACCGGCCTGAGTCACGGTCGGCCGCGGCCGCGATTTGCAATCTATACGTTTGCATTCGGATCCTCTAGAATCATGGTTCATTTCACTTTTCTATCCATCCTTCTGCAAATTCTCTGCTATCTCTTGAAATCTCAAAAGTGCACCCTTTTTCTTCTTTTTCTACTCGAAAAGTTCCCCACCCGTGTTTTTTCTTTTTCTTGAAATTTGAATTCCTTAATTATGGTTCACTGACCACTTCTAGACGGGAACGCCCACTTTTTCAGACGGCGCGGTGGCTCCAAGACAAACAATCGAACTTTTCCCTTCCTCTCGTTTTTGATGTCTTTTGAATTTTTGAATTTTAAAATTCTAATAAATAAGAAATATGATATTTCAGAAATGTCAGCCAATTTCTCGCATCTATGTCTAACAGATGAACAACAGCGGATGTCGGGTACAACCTTGGAGTATAATCTACAGAGGTTTGTAGAGCCCATGGTCTAGAAAATCCAAGACTAAAACTCTTCCAGATATTTCTACCCGGCACTGGCAATATTCGGAATTCTAGGAAACGTACTCAATTTAACAGTTCTGCTGAATCGAAGTATGCGAAGTCGAGCGAACTCATTCCTGGCGGTTCTTGCGTTTGCCGATATCATTTTTCTGTTTCTTCTCTTCCCGAATATTCTGGCAAACTACTCGTTTTTCACCTTTAATTGGTACTTTCGCTGGTTCTACCTGCACTCCAAGGTGAGATCAGATTTCTGGGGAACTTATTTTTATTCTTTGGTCCTATCTATATAATTTGGCTAAAAATGACATGGGATGTTTTTTGAATGCGGAGAAAAAAAACTAACAAAAGTTCTTACTGGAAAAATAATAAACATTTTCATTAAAATGAGAAAATAGCAAGAGTTACAAAGATCAGAAAGTAGTGTAGGAGCCAATCTACAGAAGCTCACACTAACTTTTAACTTCGAGCTCAAATATCTCGTTTCCTTTAAGAGATGTCAAAAAATATTTAACTGATAAATTGTTTATCATAATATCACCAATTTTTTATTAGTTAACACATTTTTGCTATCTCTCATAGGAACCGAGAGAATTAAACTCAGAGAGTGGTATCACATTTTTGCTGTAATGAAAGCCCTGCCCGTGCATCCATTTTGCGTTAAATTATCTAGGTTCCTTCAAAAGATTTCAACAAAATGTCAACAGATAAATTGTTCACCATAATATCACCAATATTTTATCAGCTTTCAGATTTTTGATATCTGTGATAGGAACCGAGATAATTAAGCTCAAAGGGCACGTATGGTGGTCTTCTATTAAAGCAAATGTGGAAGACTCAAATCCTAGTACCTGCAGTTTTGGAACTTTGAAATATGCCCCGAGGCATTTTTGGGCTTCCGACTTCAAATCTCTCTTTTTCCAAACATCATACATCGTTCAGGTCCACCTAATCTCGCTAGCCAACTGGTGTTCTTCGGTGGCTCACTGGTGCGTGATAGCCGTCTGTGCGGATCGACTTCTTGGAATTCAGAATCCCCTGTATGCGCGTGCCACGTGGCGATGGTAAGAGTACTTAATAACCAACAACGTCTTCAAAAGCTTCTTGTTCCAGGTGGAAACTTCCTCTTGTCACAACTGTCATCGTTTTCACATGCGGACTTTTGACATGCTACCAGCACTTTGAGTATTTTTGTCTAGTGAGGTCCTACTGTCGAGAGACTCAACTCTACTCAAGGTGTCTACCGGTCAATGCAGAGTAAGTGAAATGACTCATGAGGGGTCCTCATTTTCTATTGAAATTGGCACCAAGTAAACAACCAAGAAGGAAATTTGGGAGAGAGGGGAGAGGTTGTGCTAGGGGTGTCAAAAACATTCGTGTCTCGTTTTGACTTTCAAATTCCAAAAGAACTAGGAACCATAAGAGGGAAATTATGGGTTGTGCAGTTATAATAGTGGGCTATAGATCAGGCATTATACGGATACGATGAGTCATTGTTCTTGCCTGACGTCTTTAGCAATTTGCTCGTGATTGGGGAATTACAGAGTTACGCGGACTGATAAAAACGGAGGTATCTTTGGACATAAGTGTCCTGGAAGCACGAAAATTAGTATAAGATATTGGATTACGTTTGATTCATAGCTACTGAAATTTTCAAAGCGGTTCCTCAAGTATAGGTGATGTTATGATCGTTCAAAGATGTGCCGCTGTGATTTTCATGAGATGAAGAAGCTTTGACAAGCAATAACTCCGCTGACAATTGATAAAATAATTTGAAATTTGACCGGTTTACTGATGAAATATTAGCTATTTTCCGCTCCAAATTTTAGCTCAGTACAACCCTATGTTCATGTTTTATGCTAGAACAAACTTTAATTCGAAACTTCAGCTCTCTTTGGATTTTCCCTAAATGTCCTTGCCCAGATTTGTTGTCAATTCTTTGAACAGCTTCTCCAGGATTCCTTGAACCCTAATTCAATTTTTTCCAGAAAATGGTTCGGCCACCGCCCAAATCCATTCTCCTCCCGCTACCAAAGCTTCATCGCAATGTGCAAACTGGCTCATATCTTCCTAATGATAATCCTTCCCATCATCCTCCTCTTATTCCTCAACCTAACACTCCTTTGGGCGCTGAGAAAACGTCAAAAGCATTTGTCGATTGGAAAGGATTTTAATGCGGATCGGTGGGTCTGACTGAACCTCTAATCTAATAATCCCTCTTTCAGACGTCAAAATGACGTGCACATGCAGAAGACGGAGCATCGGGTGACACTAACTGTCACCTTTATTGTTACCATGTTTACACTGACCAATGGGCCATCGGCGTTAGTGCATTTGGTGATGTATGCGACTCATGAGGAGTTGTATGATTTGACAATGATATCCAGGTCTGTTAGGTGAAATTTTTTCTGAAATTCTAAATTCCTTTTTCAGCACGCTGGTAATCTGCGGCAAAGCTTCCAACTTCATTCTCTTCTGCCTTGGCTCCAAGCACTTCAGACTGCGATTGCTGAAGCTTACAAGGAAGAAGATCAACAGGAAAATTGGTAAGTTTAAGGGTCTCCTGTCCCTCCAACTCTTGAAGGGAGTCAAAACACTCCATTTATCTATCGCTTCTACCATATGATCCATTTCTCTTAGTGAAAAATTCGTACCTCTACAAACCGAAAGGAACATCATTCTCGAGATTAGGATGATAAGTATGGGTCCATACCCCTTATCACACAAACATCAAAACGCGCATATCAGTAGGTTTATGTGTGACATTATTCATGTACTTTTTTTGGCCCCCGATTGCTCATCCCGGATGTTTCACTGATTTTCAGTTTTTTTCACACTAATCACTTCACACCTAATCATCTCACGCGTGTTTCTCTTCATCCTTGAGTTCAGTTTTTACATATTTTTTTCTGTTTCTGGAATCTGAAATCCGATTCAGGCCGTGTGATCACACTTCACGAAAGTCTTGCGACACTATTCACCGTCGTCATCCGTCACTGGCGTGATTCTTCATCTGGATCTAGGAACGGTAGCCTGCATTTTTTTGGTTGCAATTTTTTAAATTGTCACTTGCACCAGAGGCTTGCCAGCAAACTTTTCGTTCACCATGTTTTGTTTAAATACACCTCACCCTTTCACATCCTCACCATTTTCCAACTCACCCTACTCACATGGTTTAACACTTTTTACCTATTGATCAGCACCATGTGTGAAAATCTATCTTTGCCCACAGCGTTCTGTACTTGTCATCTATCGGTTCTTACCCCCAATATGCTTGGAACGCAAAACGAGAGTTCAGGTTTAGATAATGATGGAAATGCGCTCTAAAATTATGATTGATTCTAAAATTATGATTACAGTAGGCCACCATATACTTGCACTTTGAGTCTATATATCTCGATTTCTGTAAAAGATTTTAGAAAGTGGTCCATTGATAAAGTGTTGCTGATATTATGACCAATATTTTATTAGTATCCCACTTTTTGATATATTTCATAGGAGCCGAGATAATTGCGCTCAAAGTATACCGTATATGCTTTAATAGAAGCCCACCCTATGCTTGTACGTTGAGCTTAATTATCTCGGTTCCTATGAGAGATATCAAAATTTTGTCAACTGATAAAATGTTGGTGATATTATGATGAACAATTTATTTGTTAACACATTTTTGATATCTTACGAAGGAACCGAGATAATTTGACTCAAAGGAAAAGTATTAGGTTGCGTTCTATTAGAGGGTTCACCGTAATACGAGCTATTAAGCATTTTTCAAGTTACGAAATTTTCCGGTTTCAATTCTGACAGTTGAAAATTTTCTGATTTGTTAAATTGAATTTTAATTTTAATTCAGTTTACAGTTTTTGAACTGATGAGATCTTTCCTTAAATTGAAAGTATCTTAAAATACCGTTTTACGTCAAACTAACGAAGTCCAGTAAAACCGTCAGCTTTGAGCTCATATATATATATATGTATCTTGATTTCTGTCAAAGATATGAAAAAGCTTTCAACTGATGAATTCATTATCATAATATCTAAAATATTTTGTCAGTTGACAAATTTTTGTTATCTTTTCCAGGAACCGAGATATTTAAGCTCACAGTTGACGATTTGGGTGGGCTTCGGTTAGAGGGAATACTGTATAATGCTCCAACGAATATTTTTTTTTCCAAAATTTGCATCCTGCATCAAAGCGCATTTCCATTTGCTTCCACCTGAACTTTCACCCCGTTCTGCTATTCAATTTCTCAACTCTCTCAATCCAACTACTCCCATTTCCAGACTCGATCACCGGATCACTGGTCCACACGACAAAACTCAGCACGGCTTCATCGCGTCGCACCTCGATGCCCGTCCAAGAGAAGAAACGATCGTCGTCTTGTGCGCCGTTGGTGGCCAAGAATCGGGCATTGAGCACAGTTGAAACAATATATCAACCACTTCTAAACGGTACACATCGAAAAGGAGATCTATAAAAAATACAAAGGACTTTCTTCAATTTTTGAATACTGGTATAATACATTCCCAAGAACATTTTTGATCTCTAAACGATTTTATTTCGATGATCTGCAAATCTTTTTAAATGATAATTTTTTTTTGGAAATACATGATATATGGATACCAGTTATTTTTATATGATTCTTATATACAGAAGAGGAACAAAAAATAAAGCAAAGGGGGGATGGGGTGGAAAAGGCAGAGTGAATCACATTTTGACATGTTGGGGACCCATGGGGACAAAAAAGGAGATAATGAGAACTATAGATTGTGACAGTTTACAAAGTGATCCTTATCAAAATGCCGACAGAATCTTTCCAGTTTCGGGCGCATCTTCTCGTTGATCATTGACATGGCAGACATTCTGAAAATCAGAATTTTTTGAAATCTACAGATTAAATACCCACCTAACAACAAAATTATTGCAACCATCCCTCGTAATTTGCCATCTCCAATCCACGTCGATTTTCAATGGAGCGAAAGATTCCAAAACCGTTTTCCTAGTATCGTAACCAGTCAGACCCAGCCGCAAGAAATCGGTTTTCTGAAGAGACTTAATTTGAATTGAGACCATTCAAAAAAGAAAAGGTTCCCTACCCTCACCGCTCCTGGAATCTGCACATATGTGAACGCATTTCTCCACACTGGTAGTTCTGTCCAGTTTTGAGCATTTGTGGCGTAGTCCACATTGGTTCCACCTTCGCAATTTCCGTGCGCTGTACAGGTCGAGAGGTGCCATCTGATGGCTACCTTGTCCCATCGTTTGCACCGTAGCACTTCATTTCCTTGCCATGGATATGTTCGGCTTCCGATTAGCTCCCAGTCATTTATCTGGAAATAATCTGGTTTTTTTTTCTAAAGGGCCCGTACTTGTCAACGGGTCGATACCGTGCCGGCTGATAGCTCGCTTCAAAATTGAAATTGTGAGCAACAAAACATACCAAATGATAGAGCTCAGCAAGCTCTACAACCTTCAATAAGAGTCAACCAGCACGAAAATCGTCGACCCGGCTTAAAATTCTGACGTCAGGCGGTTTTTATTGTAAGGTGTACGGCTTGCCGAGTTCTATCACTTGGTATGTGTTTTGTCCCAAAATGTCAATTTTGAAGCGAGTTATCAGACGGCCCGTGCAAGCTCGGAATCGGAACATCGGGCCAGTTCTCTTTGATCCAATTTATCTCATTTTCTATGAACTATAAAGAGCTGTCAACTGATAAATTGTTTATCATAATATCACAAGCATTTTGTTAGTTTAACACTTTTTGATATCTTTGACAGGAACCGAGATACATTGGGTACAATTTGAGATAGTCTACCTAAACTTCACAGACCACTTGAAATGTCTGAAACTAATCTGAAACAATTATGAAAAGTTCCTCTTGTTGTGCTCTTGTTGTGTTCATCCGCGTCAATCTCTGCCTTGTCACATGTTTTGTTTCTCTAATTTTTTTCTGTGCCATCCATCCCGCATCTTGACTCTCCCTGTCTATGCCGAGAAGATGCCATGATGTAATGGCATCTTCCTCGGATTCTCTGCCTCTCTTCAAGTACGCACACACCCACTATCAACTTCTCGAGTCACTGAGAAGTTGGGGATGTGTTGTGTAATACAACTGAAGAAACTGCTCCCGTCGTCTTTCGTTTCTCGCCTCTTTTCGTTTGATTTTCCTGCTGGATTTTTGTTTTTATCACTGCCGATTCTGAATTTACAGTACCCCCCAGATTTCCAGATGTCCGAATATCTCGGCTGGAGAAACCGAAAACCGGGGCCTGGTCGGAATCGCGATTCGGACTTTGATAGGGAGATCATTCCGGGCGGGGCACATACGAAAAGTTATGAAAGCTACGTCAGGAACATTTTCCATCCTACGAATCGTCTCAGAGCCAAGGTGAGTTTTTTTTAAAACCAAGGCTGTGCAAATGGCGGCCGCGGCCGGCCTTGGCTTAGGCTTTGGGTAGGTTGGCGTGGCCGAATGAGTCCTTCATTTCAAAAATAAACCACTAGGGCTGCTAGGCCATCATATCATATTTATCCCAGAATTAAATTAATCAAAATTTTGCTGCTGTCCATAATATTGCTTAAATACAATCTACCGTATTATCTCTAATATAAGGCCATCACAACCATCAAATTTGAGCTCAGTTATCTCAATTTCTGTGAGAGGTATCAAAAATCTGTCAACTAATAAATTTTGTGTCATAATCTCACTGATACTTCATCAGTTGAAAAATTTAAGATATCTCTCACAGGAACCGAGATAATGGTGCTCAAATTTGATGGTTCGGATGGGCTTCTATTAGAGGAAATACGGTAATCGCTATCTTTACTAACAACAATCACCAAATTCTGTCTGTGTGTCCGTTTGTTCCCGGACCCTAGCGAAGTCCCCAATGGACCGAAATTTCCCAAATTTTCACAGATAACCCGAAATAGCAGCGAGATGATGCCCGTCTATTTCGATTTTGATAATATAGAAAGTTGAGATCATGAGACTACAAAAATCTATTTTTTTTTGCACATTTAGGTTTTTTTCTATTTTCAAAGGTAGTTGGACAAGTTCACGGAAAAATTCACACCGCCTGGCGGCGTCAATACCTTCTGGTTCCTTTACATTTGAATTCACTTTTCCGAGCCTAACCTATCCACCTAACTTCAGGACAAGGACCAACTAGTTCGTGACCATGGATTGTCGGCCACTAGCATCCTTCGAGCTGAACGCGAATTCGGACGACACGCTCTTGACGAGAAGTATGACAGAGAGCACTTCTTCGAGAAGATGCCACTCGAGAATTTCTACGCCGAGCTGGGAATCAAGAACCCAACTGTGAGTTGCACTTCTGAAGATCCTTCCAAAAGTAACCAAAGCCTTTCAGTCCACCAACTATCGTGCCTACCAAGTGTACGAGCCGAAGTCGTCTTCAGAATACTTCGCGGCCACTTATGAAGCGGAACGAGAGAGAAGAAAAAAGGATTTGGACCGGGAACTGGCGTCGTACGACAAGGAAGAGTATGAGGAGATGACTGGAGAGCCCAAGAAGAACTTGTACTCATCGCTGTCCAGTTATAGAGCAGTGAGTTTTTGAGCACATTTTCAGATTGTAATAATAAAGTTTCAGCCACTAACCAGCTACAAAACCCGCGCCGATGAAGAATATGAACGAGACAATAAGACTACCCTGATTGATTATAAGGATTTTGATAGGTATGTAAATTTTTTGGGACTTCTAAACGGTGACTTAATTCTGGACCCTTTCCAGCTCCCCACTCTCCCCATATCTCTATCAATCTCATCCCTACGTTCGCAGCCAAGACTCCAGAATCATCGGATCGAATTTCGTTCAACTAACATCCCGCCCAAAAGACAAGTTCCTTTCAAAAATCGATGAGACCTTGGCGATGGTCCGTGATATGCCAAGATACTAGGAGAAGTGTGTGGTCTTTCGTTTTATGATTCTTTTTGATTCTATATATTATATCTACTTCCGGTGTTTATCCTTTTTTGTGTATGCACATAAAACTTTTTTCTTGAAGACTTGAAGACTTACCTCTAAATGATTCTGCCAAGTGGAAAATGGTAACAGTAATAGCAACACAGCAACCAACAACATCATGGCATATTCTGAAAATTCACGAGAATTAAAAAAGGAAGGAGGGATCTATTTCAGACACTTTGCTACTAATGCGAATCAATTTTCGAGAAACAAGAAGAAGATATGGGATAATATAGGAGAGAATGGCACGCAATATTTAACTGACAGGGCTGGTTAGAAAAGGGAGAGGGTAATAAGTCATTGGAGAAAAAGGGCTAGAAGAAGTCTCGGAGCACATGCATACTTTTTTTTGACATGCATCCATTTTTCATGCCCCCACGTAGGATAGTGAATTTAGGGGAGGGAGAGTCCCAGAATGAGAAAAAAAGTAACCTACAGGTGTAGAGGGGTCACCTTGGGGAGTGTTGGATTCCCCGTGACGGCTCCAGAGAAACAAGCTACCTCCTTGTGCGTGCTGTCTGGTAAAATAGGGGAAAGTGCATCGGTAACAGGGGAACTAGTTATGTCTGTAGGGAGGAGTGGGACGACGAGCGGGCAGATAAGCGGTGTGGAAACAATAATAACAACAGTAGTATCAGTGACCCATTTATTGAGCGGTATATGTTTAATAAAGAGAATATATCGTCAATAAGAGGTTTCCTTGGAGTCGGGCTGGCTTGGAGACGGACGAGAAGGACATCACTGATCACTCAATAGTTGAAGGGGCAAAAAGCCTTGGGCAACAAAAACCCTTCTGTTACCGGTGACAAGCTTATCGCTTCTCATAGACAAAGTTCCCAATAGCACACGCTTCCTAGTGGTCACGATGAGAGCACTGAAAGGAAAACACTCATGAAACAGGTCACAGAACTGGCCGTTAGTCTATTCAGAAGGAAATCTATATCAACTCACATCATTAGCGGTTTACGATAGTCCAATAAGGCCGGTAAGGCGATCGGGGATCGCCGGAGGTCTTATAGTATTGGAATAGTAGGAATAATGATGAGTAACGAGGTTGACGGACTTGCAAACTGATGGGAAACGTCACGGAACAGCACTAACTACTAGACTAGAATTAGACTGAGTAAGACTCAGTTAAATCTGCGTAAGACTCAGTTAATCTGAGTAAAAATAGGCCAGTAACCCCGTTTCGAGTGTGTATTTAACCCCTTCGTGGCGAGACCTCAACGATAGGGCGCGCTTGCACGAAGGGAGAGAAAATTGGCGGGAATTTGAATATGAGAAAGCAATAGAAAGACTAATAAACAAAGGAAAATAAAGAGAATAAAGTGGGAAATAGGAAGATTTCTGAGGAGTAAGCACAGTGGGCTGGGCCTAGAGGTCCTCAGAATATCTTAAAGTTGTTGAGTCGGTGAATAGCCACGTGGACTCGACAACAACAGGAGGACAATTGGTGTTTTTAAGGAAAACTGAAAAATGAGGAATAGGTGAAAATTGGAAATTTTTCAAGTGGATGAGAAAGTCTTAGGAAGAGAATGTATGAGGATCCACTTGATATTTTGGGAGTTAAATTATTTTTCTTCGAATATCTGATTGCACCTCCACTGTCGACTTTGAGCTACCGTATTTCCTCTAATATCTTTCAGGGTGGACTTCTATTAGAGGTGGGCTTCAATTAGAGGGTGGGCCTCTATTTTTCAATGATTAATTTTCAAAAAAAAAATGTTCAAAAATGATAAATTAGACAATTCAGAAGTTAAGAGTTCTGGAATTCGGTGTTTTTTTCAATTTGAAGTTTTCATTCTGCAATTCTAAACACCAAATTTCCAAATTTATGAAATTCTGAGATTCCAGAAACTCAAAGTTCAATATTCAGGAACTCTGTAGACCAGAAATTGAGAAATTTAAAACTTGCGAAAAAGCTCATGGGCTTCTATTAGAGGGTGGGCTTCTATTTTTCGAAGCACCCCGCGGGGCGGGCTTCTATTAGAGGTGGGCTTCAAATAGAGGTGGGCTTCTATTAGAGGAAATACGGTAATTTATCTCATTTCCTATTAGAGATATCAAAATGTGGTCAACTGATAAAACGGTTATCATAATATCAAAAACAATTTATCAGTTGACAAATTTTTGATATCTCTTATGGGAACTGAGATAATTGAGCTAAAGTGCATGTAGAGGGTAGATTGGTATTAGAGCGTTTACAGTGCCTTCCGTTTTTTTTGCTCAAAAAGATGCCTAACTTTTGAAAAGTAGGCAGATTATTATGAGGTTAGAACCTTTCATACCGAATTTCCCCGTAAAATTTTTAGGAAAAAAATCCCTTTAATTGAAGAGCCTCTGTAATAGAAGATTCCTTCCAGAAGTGCATGAAGCAATAGAAGAGACTGCTCTTCTAATACGGGTTTATAGACCACCTGCATTTTAAGTCCTAGAAATATGGAACTAAATAAAGCTTACGAAACCAAATGAGTAGACCATAAAACCTGTAATAGAAGCACCCCCACATTGTCAAGTTTGAGCTCAATTATCTGAACTCCTACACAAGATTTCAAAAATGAATCAACTGACAAAAACCTCCTGATATTATGATAAACAATTTATCAGTTGACAACTTTTTGATACCATTCACAGGAACCAAGAAAAATTGGGTGAAAGTAAAAAGTTAGGGTGCCCTTCTATTACAGGTTTTCGGAATCAAGATGATTACCAAAAATATTAAAAAGACAGAAAATATATATGTCATAGCATGTTTCGAAACAAATTGTTAAGCGTGTAAAAAGGGAAACACAAAAAAAGAGAGGAGGAATCAATCGATGTTATTTGCACAATGGCCTCCACACCCCGACGACAGATGAAAAGAGTTTTTGCGCTTTTAACAGTTTCGGTCGGCCGCTTCTTCTTGCGTACACTCATATCAACCAGACCAAGGAGGAAGAGGAGGAGAAGCGCTAGACAAGTTATATTGTACACAAAAAAAGTTGGTTAGGGTAGACGGATGTTTTTTAGATGAGTGAGTAGGTACTTTGAGCACTTTGAGCTTGAATATCTCGGTTTTTAGAAGAGATATCAAAACTTTGTCAACTGATAGAACATTGGTGATATATTGATGAACATTTTATCAGTGAAATATTTTTCATATCTTTTGAAGGAACCGAGATAGTTGAGCTCAAATTGAAAAAGGGTTTCTATTAGAGCAAACGGAGTACTTCCTACTTGCAACTAGCTAATCAGGTGAATTGTTTTACGAAGTTAGTTAATGCAAATTAAATCCTCGATATTTTTAATTTGAGCAGAGATCTTCAGGTCCACAAGACCAGTTTTAATTTTAGATACAGTTTAGCTAAAAATTGTAAAAATTGGCAGCATTTTAGAGTGAGTTCTTTTTAGGTTTTATCTATTCTCAAAGTTGCTTGATATCTCAAAAACCAAAAAAACTAACAAAAGCGGGTTAATTGCAAAATTACTCAGCATAAAATGTTAGTGATTTTTGTCGTTAACAACTTTCTGATAGCTACCGTAGTTTTTGAGATATGTGGCTGGATCTATATTTTTTCTGGTTTTAAATTAGAGCAATTAGTCAAAATTCAGCAATGAGGGCGAAAATAAAAGAATGAGGTTTGTACTTAACGACCCAAGCTTTTGGCACATTTTCCACAAATTCTACCGTACCGTTCATCATTGTAATTAGGTCTTTTAACTTTAAATCAATTTTTCTCATTTCCTGTGTAAGATATTAAAAAGTAGTACTGATAAAATACTTTTCATAATATAATCAACATTTTATCAGTAAACCACTTTTTGATATCTTGTACAGGAACCTAGATCGATGGGATCACAATTTACGGTCTGGGTGGCCTTCTATTAGAGTGTTTACGGTAAATTTAGTCAGTTGACGGTTAGCAGTAGGCTCTTTCCTTACGGTACTTGAAAACCCTAAAATGGTAGGAAAGAACATAAATAACACGAGCAGGACTTAAAGTTCGACAGGTCGAGTAACAAAAATCAAAACGGAAACTTTTCAAAATGTCTACCTTAACAAAAACCACAAAAACCTTTCCCGACCAAACCAAAGACCCCGAAAGTATCAATTACCATGAAAAAATAAAGTAAGGTTTCTTTTCCTTCGGTTTCTTGCTTGTCAGATGGAGTTAGTGCCAACGAGAAGAACAACTAATCAGATTATAGACGGAATGGGCGAAAATAGAGAGAATTGAAACGAATCAGTGTTGTCGAAGAAGTCTTCTGAAGAAGACGAAGAAGAAGAAGAGGATGGAAAAGTTTTGAAATGGCACACATGCATGCATGCCTGTTATCAGAATGTATCAGAGGAAGACGTCGTTATACATTTGAATATCCGTTCGAAAGGGAAAATCAGGAAGTGGTGGAAGAGGTGGTTTAAAAGATTATCTCATGAAGACGACCCAATTAACGATACATACATAAATTGAGTCTCTCTTGATATCATCAATCCCCTTTAATTTTCGGCGGGGGCGCCGCCCGGCGGTAATTAATTGCCTGCATGTCAGATTTATTATGTGTGAGGAAATATCTGACATAATACAGTGGTAGGCGAAACGGAAAGAAAGGAAATTGCATGATATGACCTAGCCGAAATGAGAAAAAAGATTGAGAGGAGGATCGACTGATTGATTAGTAGCTGACGGGGTTTCACGCCAATCGTGTTGATTTCGACACTAGTAGTAGCTGACCTCTGAATGAAGATGGGAGATAAAAACGGACGGTTTGGGGAGAGAGAGCAGATATTCAGAGATCTTTTAGGGATAGGGAAAAAATGTGGCTGAAGGAACCAAGCAAGAAAAACCTTACCTGCCGTAAATGCTCTAACAGAAGCCAACTCTATAAGTAGTAAACTTTGAGCTCAATTATCTCGGTTCCTATGCAAGATATCAAAAAAGTTTCAACTGATAAACTATTTATCGTAATTTAAGCTATATTTAACCAGTTGACAAATTCTTGATATCTCTCACAGGAACCGAGATAATTGGGCCCAAAGGCACGTATAGGTTGGGCTTCCATTAGAACATCTACGGCCAAACTATCAACTTTGGGCCAATTTATCTCAGTTCGTCTAAAAGATACTAAAAAATTTCAATTAATAAATTGTTTGTCATAATATCACCAGTATTTTATTAGTAGACATATTTTTATATCTTGCATAAAAGCTGAGATAATTGAGTTCAAACAGCATAGGCGGGCGAGCAAATACTGTACGTTTTGAAAACTACTGTCAGCGTTAAGCCAATTTATCTCGGTTCCTGTGAAAGTCATCAAAAAATGATCAACTAACAAAGCATTTTTGATAAATTGATAAACTTTTTATCAGTTGACAATTTCTTGATATCTCTTACAGGAAGCGTGATAATTGAGCTCAACGTGCACATATGGGTTGGGCTTTGATTAGAACATTTAGACCGAACTACCAACTTTTCTGCTAGTTTTTCTCGGTTCCTTCAAAATTTATCAAATGATATTAAACGGATAAATTGTTTATCATAATATCACCAGTGTTTTATCAGTTGACAGATTTTCGACATCGCTCCTAGGAACCGAGATAAATTAACTCAAAGAGCACGTATAGGCTGCGCTTCTACTAGAGCAAGAACGGTATACTTTGCGCCAATTTTCCTCGTTTCCTGGGGAAGTTATCAAAAAATGGTCAATTAACAAAACGTTTTTGATAATTTGATAAATATTTTGTTAGTTGGCCATTTTTTGATTTCTTTCACAGAAAACGAGATAAGTTGATTGAAAGTTAAAAGTACTCTATTACAGAGTAACCAGGCATTGCGACATCTGGACACAAAGACACACGAAAGCTTCATGATTCCAAAGTTAACACATCCCATATAAAATGGCTAAAGATCCTAGACATCCGGTGACATCCTCCTGATGAAAATTTTCCTGAGGAAAAGGAACATAACTCCAGGAAAAGAGCCTGAAGGCAAAAATAAGCGATGAGAGGAAAAGAGGCGAGCGCGAAGGGACAGCACACAGGGAGAAAAAAAATGTTCGAACACAACATTGTGAATAATTCAGTGAGAATTCGAAAAGAAACAAATGAAGCGGCATAGATGGCTTCTCCCTATTTTTTCTAAGCATGGAGAAAAAGGAGAGGAGCCGGGGAGAATTTAATTGAGAGCGGGGAGAGAGAGGGGGGGGAGAAGATGTGAATCGCGTCGACGACGCAAAAAATGAAGAAGAGGAGCGGAGAGGAAGGAAATCGGGTTGATGTGATGATGAGATTGACCGAACACTGGTGCAAGGGTTCAGCACTTTCAGATTATCAGTTCCAAAAAAATAGAAGAAAATGGGAAAAAATGACCAAATATGATCTGGACATAATCCTATAATCTTCGTGAGATTAAAACACAAAGATTATCAAGTTTTGGATGACCCTAAAATCAGAAAAAATAACAAAAAGTTGAGTCAAATCGATTGATTTGAAACAGTGTGTGCTATCGGTACGGTTTCGGGAAACTTACCGGTAACTTGTCGGTAAAATACCGGTAAATTACCGGTAACCGCGACATTTCAGAACTGCTACGTTTCAGAACCGCGACGTCTTAGAACTGGCCATTTCAGAACAGTTGCAAAACTGTCAAAAAAACTAGTGAAACAGTAGAAAAAAAACATTCGTGTAGTCCTGGAGGAAAATAAAAATTTTACCGGTGAATTACCGGTAAAACTACCAAAAAAGCCGTTACCGGTAAGTGAAAATCAGAAGTCACACACAGGTTTGAAAATAGAGCACCGATCTAATAGAAGCAATCCCTAAATATGTACTTTGAGCTCAATTATCTCAATTTCTCTAAGAAGTATCAAAAATGTGTAAACTGATAAAATATTGGTGATATTCTGATGAATAATTTATCAGTTGACAGATTTTTGTTATCTCTCATGGCAAATGAGATAATTGAGCGCAAAGTGGGCACATAGGCCGCGCTTAAATTTCAGCACATAATTAACTGATCCCCTTAAAAAAATACCCCCTAATTTTCGACTATTAAATTTTTAGTATTTGAGCCAAAAAGTTCTAGCTATTCAAAATATGAAAAAAATATTTTTCTGTCGACTAGGTTTCTCTTGTGAGAGTGAGGTTGAAAAAGGAAATTGAGAGGAAGTACAAGGACATGTACACTCTCTCTTATTATAATTGTTCAGAGGTTTTATGAACCACCCGGAAAGATTCGAGAAGGCTGAGAAGAGAGATTTATTACTTTGGAGTTTGGAAATAATTGGAGAGAGAGAGAGAGAGAGAGAGAGGGAGCTACTGCAAAGTAGGTCAAGCTAAACAAATTCCCACCAAAACCCAACAAGTCAAGATGTGACTTCTAAGCTTCTTAAAATGTTACCAGAATTGCTTTTTATGAATGTGAGAATGTGAAATTCGGATTTGACAGATTTCAGAAATTCGAAAAAACCAGAAATTCAGAAATTCAGAAATTCGGAATTCAGAAATTTAGAAAGTCGGAAATTTAGAAATTCGGAAATTCTGAAATTCTGAAATTTTGAAATTCAGAAATTCGGAAATTCAGAAATTCTGAAATTCTGAAATTTTGAAATTCAGAAATTCGGAAATTCAGAAATTCAGATTCTGAGATTCTGAGATTCTGAGATTATGAGATTCTGAGATTCTGAGATTCTGAGATTCTGAGATTCTGAGATTTTGATATTCTGATATTCTGATATTCTGATATTTTGAGATTATGAGATTATGAGATTCTGAGTTTCTGAGATTCTGAGATTCTGAGATTCTGAGATTCTGAGATTCTGAGATTCTGAGATTCTGAGATTCTGAGATTCTGAGATTCTGAGATTCTAAGATTCTGAGATTCTGAGATTCTGAGATTCTGAGATTCTGAGATTCTGAGATTCTGAGATTCTGAGATTCTGAGATTCCAAGATTCTGAGATTGTGAGATTCCAAGATTCTGAGATTCTAAGATTCCAAGATTCTGAGATTCTGAGATTCTGAGATTCTGAGATTCTGAGATTCAGAAAGTCAGAAACTCAGAAATTCAGAAATTCAGAAATTCAGAAATTCAAAAAAAACCTGAAATTCTGAAATTCGGCAATCAACTCAAACTAACTGTAAGCTGTCAGAAAAACTTTCAATCAGAATGAATACGGAAAATGCTGGAAAACTTGCAAAAAAAATATTTTTCGGTTCTAAAAAACCTTATGTTCGTCACCATATTCCAAAAACACATCGACTTCTGAATTGTCGTGGGGTATTTTTAAACGGGTCCATAAACGAGGAATAACCTAGTTTTTCTTCCAAACAAGCCATCATTTTCTCTCGTTGTTTCCCTCACATACACACTCATCAACACCAGTCTTTCACCCATTTTTTTCTGCAATTCCCACTTTCTCATTGGCAAAAAAAAAGAAGAAAAAAATTTCTTCTCAAAAGAGCTATCATTTTTTCTCCTCGTCATCATCATGGTCTAATTAATTGCCTCTTTTTTGAAACAATTTTGGAACGATCCCAGAGGGCACATGTGGTTTCTTTTTCTAGCTCAAAATATGGTGTGTATTGTGTTTGTGACCTAAATTAATAGAATTAGAAATGACATTTTTTGGAGGGAATTCTAAATTTAAAACGGTTTGGGTTCAGGACAAGAGGCATAGAATATGGGGATTCTATCTTAAATTAATGGGGTCTTTTTGCAACAATTGCAGAGGATCTTGGACATTGGTGGTTTTTCCACGCCACCAACGTTCTAGCTCAATTATCTCGAATCCCATTAGAGATATCAAAAATTGGATAACTGATGAAATGTTGCTGATTTCATGACCAACATTTTAGTAGTTGACAATTTTTTCTAGCTACAGTAGTTTCTGAGATATGCGCATCTTTCACCGTCGTGATGGGCTAACTTTAAAGGCGCATATCTCAAAAACTACTGTAGCTAGAAGAAGTTTGTCAAGTGATAAATTACTTATCATAATATAACCAACATTTGATCAGTTGACAAATTTTTGAAATCTTTTAGAGAAATCGAGATAATCCAGCTCCAAGACAACAACTAAACTTGACCAATTTTTGATTTTCGAAAATTTCGGGACTTTTTAATTTTTCAAAACCGAGCGAATGCATTCGAGTTTTGGCTCATTTCAATACTCTTTTTTTGCTTAACCCAAAAATAAAACTTCCAAAAAAATCCGTCAAAAAGTAGCCGAGTTATGACGGTTTTACTGAAAAGGTTAGAGCGCAGAGAAACGAGACACACTGCGTCTCTGGCCTCAAAACTCAAAATTGAAGTATTCTAGTTGTGTTTAGACTTATTTTAAAGCTCTCAATTTCTGAAATTTGAAAATTTTAAAAGTTCTGAGTTTAGACCAAAATGAGCCGAGATACGGTAGTTTTACAGTTTGGCCTGAAAATAGCCGAAATTAGAGAACTGTCAAGTTTGAGCTAAATTATCTCGGCTCTCATAAGAGATATCAAAAAAATGTCAACTGATAAAATGTTTCTGATATTATGATGAACATTTTATCAGTTGACTATTTTTCATATCTTTTACAAGGACTGATATAAATAAGCTCAAACTTGACAGTTTGGCTAGCTTTCTCTTAGAGTGTTTCGTGTCTCTAAATAGCGGCAAAATAGCGGTAAAATTAATATATTGTTTTTTTGAATTTTGAGAAGCCTGCTAATAAGACAGAGTAAACTCCAGTCAGTTTGAACCTAACAAATCTAGGTCCTCAAAAAAAAACATGACGCAAGAATTTTTTTTGAAATTGACACCATTCTATGGGAAACCTAGAAGAATATTTTCCCTTGTCTTCTTTTTCCGCGACTCAAAAAAAAATTTAGAACGAAAACAAAGGAAATTTCCAGAAAAGACCACCCCGTAGCACTGAAAAAATAGAGAAAAATGAGGATGATGGAAACGAGGGAAAAAGGCGGGAAGAAACTAAAAACGAGGTTGTTCGTCACCGGAAACTGGTCACTCTTCTTCTCGGGAAAACTAAAAAAACGCGAAAAAGAAATTGAGAAGGACATAGGTCACGGTTCAGAAAGAATCACAGGGCGGTCCTCTTTTCTTTGTTTTGTGGAGGAGGAGGCGGAGAAGTGGTTTTTGGTGGAAGGGGAGGAGGTTGTAAAGGTATGGTTGGATATTTCATGGGGTACTTGGAAATGCATGGAGGTTCGGTTTCTTTCTTGAAAGCTTCTAGGTCTGCAAGAAGAAGCTTCTGGGAATTTGAGAATCCAAATTCTACTAGTCAATTACAGTACCGATCAGTGATGGGAGGAAACGCATTTTTCCGAAATACGTAACGAATTTTTTTTCGCGAATAACGGAAACGGAAAAAAATCTTCCAAAGTTGGGCGGAAAACGGAAAACGGAAAAATAAAACGGAAACGGAAATTTCTACTTTTCGTCTATTTTTCAGGATTTTTTTACTTTCGAATATAAAAATATACAAAAAAAATATTTTTTACGTTTCAAGACCATATTAGCATCAATTTCCATGCTTTTCAAGCCAGTTTTAGTTTAATGTTTTCGTCAACTTTTACATTTTTTTTCCGTTCCCGCCGAAAAAAATGGCGGTTTTTCCGGAATACGGAAATATAATTTTACTTTTACGGAAACGGAATTTTTCACGCGGAAACGGAAACGGAAAAAAAATCTCTAAAAACCGGGCAAAAAACGGAAAACGAAAACGGAAATTCTTCCTATCACTGGTACAGATTCATAAGATATACAAAAACATATTTTTCAGTTGATTTTCGGGCATTTTCAGGAGTCTAGAGCTCGGTTGTCAAACTTCCAATCACTTTGAAAACTGTGGAGGGTGTAAAACAGACCTAGATCGAAAACTTTT